CCATCCGAGTTTCATGGCCGACCTGACCAGCATCCCTGCGTGCAGACAACCTCCTCAAACAGCTGCATGTTGTCGAAGCAGGGGCGGTTGAAACCTCACTGAAATCTCGACAAGGGTGTTTCGATTTGATTCCCATATTATGACTGGCACTTGGCCCTTCCTCAGCAAAGTAATCCTCCAACGTTTTCCTCTGGTTTTCCTTCCGCCTCAATCCCCCATTCCATTTCGAATCCCGCGTCTTCCACCTCAATTGCCTCTTCCCCCATTTCGAATTCTATCAACCCTCCATCCAGACCCTCATCCAAACTTCCATGTACGCCTTGATCAACACAAACTCTGCCTCGTCATTTCCGCGTGATCGCTACGCAAAGTCCTTCCTCCACTACTAGAATCGACGTGTTCGATGATGGGTGGGCGCAGCGCGCGGCTGAGTTGTGGGCCTGAATGACGTGAAAGGTAGTTGAGATACAAGAAGGTTGGACTTGGGATACAACCTCGATTCCACGCAATACGCACATAATCTCTCGGAATCGGGAATCATCGTTTGTTGTACCTCTCAAGCCCAATCTCAGACGGCGGATGCGAACGAGAGGGAGGGATGTTTACGCGGAGCATGTTGATCCGTTAAACCGTTGCAGGAGTGTATCGTGCATAGTAGGGGTGTTGCTCCCTCTTTGGACTCTTGGACGTCGACTTCATCTTCGTGCCATTCACTCCTGCTACCGTGGCGTGGCCTTGTCACTTCGTCGAGTTCAATTTTGGATTATTCTGAAAAACTGAAACCAGGATGGCCGACTACGCCCACAAATCAGCCAACACCGGCTCCATCTACCTCTCCGCCATCTCTGAATCCGACCTCTACTGCCGCTACGTCCCAGGCCTCGTCGGCGATCGCCTATTTCGCATCTTTTCGGTCTCAAGAAGGAAGGCCCCTGGCTAGGTTCTCAGCTCCTACTCTCAAATTCCATGGGCCTCCATGACTTTCGTGAAGATGTCGATCAGCAACGGTACTTCTGGCCCGAGAGATTTTTGGGTAGGGGGAGTTTAGTTCAAAGAGATAAAGGACCTCTATGAGCCTGTGGCTTTGTAGACAGCGACGTGGATGCAGAGCGGGGTGGCCGCAAGTGTGTGGAAATTTCGATCTTGCGCCCTTTACGGTGAGTTGTTTCTTGCGCTTCGCCCCTTTTCTGAAGCTGACTGTTCTTGCCGTTAGGGACATCGTGGCGTTCGCCACCATCTGATTTCTTGACTACTGGGCGGGACATATCCTTCCCTCACAAAAGTTGGCCCTCGGTTCAAATGGCAAGTGTGAAAGTGGTGTCCTGTAAGGTCTTACGGTTTTACGGAAACTTCTTGATCTAGTTATGAATCGAAAAGTGAAGTTGCGCGTCATCGAGGCCGCCAGCAATGCACTCTTCGGTGTCATCTTCTCCAGAGTGACAATGTTTGTGGGCCCAGGCTCAGGTTCAAAACCGAGCACCCTTTCCTGTATTCCAAGACACATTGGGAATAGTAGGTTTCTGCCCAGTGTGGAATCGATACTATACGCGAAGGAAGC